TATTAATCAGCTACAGGGAGTGTGACATACCAGAAGTATGTGAGTAGACACTTCAGTTAAATTGAATAACAATTTAGCCAATAAATGATATGGGCAAAGCATTTCCTCATAGTACCTGTCCCAAAGTTAAACAAAAGAAGGTTAGCTATTATATATTTCCGTATCTAATTAACATAGCCAGATATTGGCAGTTTTATCTGGCACTATAGTACCTCTCTTAGTTTCTTCTTTGCTAAGTCATGTTTTTCCTGATATACACCCATTGGGGTTTTAATAATGGTTCTTTTTCCAAAATAAATATGTTGTGTATAGTTGTTTTTCTCATCAAACTGCCTGGAATTTTTAGTGTCATCCTTTGTTTGGACTATTAACCTTCTTTGATAAACGATCCGTTGTAGAAGCGTGAGATTTTACCAATCCTAGGTATCACGATCTGGAAATCCCCCGTCCGCCTCCTCCTGCCATCTCTCTCCCCAGAATTACAGCTGTGTAAGAACTTAGTCATTTTCCTTGGAGAGCAGCTTGTTGAACTTCCCTCAATTTCGTGAATACCCCTGCAGTTCTTATCAACACTACAATTTATCTCTTAACTTTGCATTCCCACCCTGTCATTACAGTCGTCATTGTAAAAAACCAAGCACAGTGGATATTTGTTCTTTTTTGGCTGCCCAGCAGATGAACTCCGTATCTCTGTTAGGGGAATTCTCTACCTCTTGACTTTTGGTGGGAAGCAGTGTCACTAACCACAACTCCCCCTCTACCGCCAACCCTCGCATCCCTTACGCCCAGGCAGAGTAGGGAAAAATTAGCATACTTTTCAAGTTTGCTTATCTCTAGATTTAGGGGTAAAAACTAAAGAGATGTGAAGTCTGGTGGTCTAGCTGGTGTGGGTCGAGAGGGGAATGGTGAGTGTGGAGGTAGTGGCTGTATCTTGCTGCTCCAAACTCTGGAGTTCCTCTCATTGGCCACCACATTCTGAATTTTCACTTAACATTGAATCCTTTACATTGTTTGGTTGCTGGCAGTGATTTAAAAAATTTTTTTTCTTTATTAAAATTGGGAAAGAGTTTGTGATCTAGCTGAATGCTCTTATGACTGCTACAGCTATCCTCAGTTCCATATTTTGTAGATTTCTGTACTGGGAGACTTTGCTTTTCTTAACCATCCCAAAGGCACTATAGTATTTGATGGTGGGAACCCCAGTGGTGACAGCCCTTCAGCATAGTCTCCTTTCAGTCAAAAGACTTCCAGTAACCATCGTTACTTTTCTGTATGGTTATTTTATCCCTTGTAGCTACTTTTGGAATCTTTGGCTTTTGTGAAGTCAAGACTAGATCTTTGAGCTTGATTATAATTTCCCTGGTGGTAAATTCACCTCTATAATCTCTATTTAGCACAGTACCTTGGGCAAATGAGTTCTTTTAACTTTTAGGTTGTATTCTCGAAATTAACCTAAGAGTTAGTGATCTTCCTTAGTATCTGTTGAAATCAACTGGCCTTATTAGTTTGGGCTAATAATAGCATTGGAGTATTTAAAACATAGAAATCTAGAGTGTATTCATGATTTACTTATCAGTTTCTGACTTGTTTTTCTCCTGATTTTCATGATTATCAAAATCATATGTGTCCATCATGGAAAAATTTGGTAAGTACGAAGAACTATTTAAAAAACAGTATAGATCCCCGCATCAGATTCTGTGCAATCCCCATCAAAATTCTGCCTTTTTTGGCAGAAATTGATAAGATAATTCTAAAATTCACATGGAAATGCAAGAGACTCAGAATAGCCAAAACAATCTTGAAAAAAAACAACAAATTTGGTGGACTTATACTCTCTATTTTGAAACTTAATACAAAGCTACTATAATCAAGATGGTGTGGTACTGGCATAAGGATAGACATACAGATCAATGGGATAAAATTGCAAGTCCAGAAATAAACTGTGACATTTATGGTCATTTGACTTTTGACAAAGGTGCCAAGGCTAATGAAGGGAAGAACAGTCTTTTCAACAAATAATTTTGGAACAACTTGATATCCGCATGCAAAAGAATGAATTCTCACCCCTTTCTCACATTAAAATTAAGTAAAAATGGATCAAAGACCTAAGTGTAAGAACTAAAATTAAAACTCTTCAAAGAATACATAGGTATAAATCTTGATGACCTTGGGTCAGTCAGTAGTTTCCTAGCTATGACACCAAAAGTGCAAGAAATCAAAGAAAAATAGATAAATTGGATTTCACAAAGAAAAAATGATAAATTAGGCTTCATCATAATAAAGAACTTTTGTACTTCAAGGAACATTATCAGTACAGTAAAAAGACAACTCACAGACTAGCCGAAAATATTTGCAAATTATATATCTGAAAAGGGTCTAGTGTCAAGAATATGTAAAGAACTTTTACAACTCAATAATAAGACATACAAACTGATTAAAAAATGAGCAAAGGAATTGAATAGACATTTCTCCAGAGAAGATATACAAATGATCAATAAACACATGCAAATACTTTCAACATCTTTAGTCATTAGGGAGATGCAAATAAAAGCCACAATGATATGCCACTTCACACCTGCTAGGATGACTGTAACAAAAATGGTGAGCAGTGAAGTCTTTGTGAGGATGTAGAGAAATTGGAATCTCATACATTGCTGGTGGGAGTATAAAATGGTGCAGCTGCTTTGGAAAACAATTTAGCAATTTCACAAATGACAAAGTGTAAAGTTACTATCTGATTCAGCAATTAAACTCCTAGATATATACCCAAGAGAAATGAAAACATGCCCATGCAAAAACTTGTACCCAAATGGTTATTGCAACCCAAAAACGGAAACCTTGTTTTTGATAATAGCCAAAAAGTAGAAACTACTCACATGTCCTTTAATTCGTGAATGGTTAAAGAAAATATGATGTATCCATACAATGGAGTATTACTATTCAACACTAAAAAGGGATGAAGTAATACATGCAACAACATGGCTGATGAACCTTGAAAATATATGCCAAGTGGAAGAAGCCACACCCAGACTACATATTGTGATTCCATTTATATGAAATCTTCAGAATAGACAAATCCATAGAGACAGAAAAGTAGCTTAGCCGTTGCCAGGGGCGGGGGGAAGGAGCAAATGGCAAGTGACTGCTAATGGGTCTGGTTTCTTTGGGGGTGGATGAAAATGTTCTGGAGTCCGATAATGGTGATGGTTGCACAAGCTTGTGAATAAGCTAAAAACCACTGAATCGTACACTTTACAAGGGTGAATTTTATGGTAGGTAAATTGTAACTCAATAAAAAAAGATGATTAAACAGCAAAATAGAGGTCACCTCAGATTCCACTGCACAGGGACAACCACAGCTCGTGTCAGTTGAGCGTTTTACAGAATCTGAACTCAGTGCCAGGCTCCTGAGCCCTTTAGCTCCCTTCTCATTTTTTCCTCAGAATAGCTTTCTGAATCTTCCATCAGAACTGGGGCCCCTGACTTCTTCTCCAGCGTTCTTTCTACTAATTTGCTGTGCCTGTTTTTACAAAGAAATTTGGGTGAAAAGAGAGCTTGCTAATTTGGAACATCATTAAAGTACTATTTCACAGAGTTAAGTGGTTCATTGAGCACTCAGTGCTCAAGCTTAAAGGAGAGCAAAAACCTGAGAAATGGATTAAATCTCTGAAGTTAGTCTTTTAGTACAAAGGGGTTTATGTTAATCTTTTTTTTTTCAGAGATTGTAAGAAAGAAACACATAAAATTAGGAACTTCCTTAAAGTGGCCATTCCTCTTGGAATGGTGTGATGCTGGGGTTAGAAAAGCTGATTGGATTTTGTTTTCATAAATGTCATCAGAATATGCTGTGGTCCATTGCTTTTCTATGAGACTAGAGAGTTTAAAGTAGAAGGCATCAAGAAAACATGCCAGCGTGAGAACCTTTGTTACAGTGGTTGATTTTGTTTATTTTGTGCTCTTAGCGTTTCAGAGCAGTCAGTCATGGGCCCAGAGGTTTGTCCTGTACACTCCTTGATTGTTCGTTCCTTATTTGTGGGCATTGACAACTTAGTACATGTAAAACTTCTTGTAAAAATAATGGAAACTTGATTAGTAAATTTTTTTTTTAAGGAGAGTTATTCAAACTTTTTAATCACTTTAACATGAGAATATTGTATTTTTTTTTTTTTGAGGGAGATTAGCTCCGAGCTAACATCTGCTGCCAATCCTCTTTTTGCTGAGGAAAGTTGGCCCTGAGCTAAGATCTGTGCCCATCTTCCTCCACTTTATATGTGGGACGCCTGCCACAGCATGGCTTGATGAGTGGTGTCTAGGTCCCCACCTGGGATCCGAACCAGTGAAGCCTGGGCTGCTGAAGCCGAACATGTGGACTTAACTGCTACGCCATCGGGCCAGCCCCCAAGAATATTGTATTTTTTTAAATCTTGAACTGAAGATACTGGTGCTCTGGCTTTATTCTTTCATCATGTAATTGAAGAAAATTTATTACTTTTCTGTGAAAATTTGTTATTTCTGGAAACTTTTGAATAGCTTGATCCTGACTGAGAAGTTCTCAGGGTGGTGCAGTTGATTCTTGCCATTTAGTGTCTTTAGCATTCTAATTGAAGAAAAGTTGCTTTGAGTAAATATTAGCATAGTATATTCTTTCTTCCCCAGAAAAATGCTCTGAAAAATTTGATTTTAATATAATAAACACTTCTACTTAGGTATCATAATCTCATTAGAATTTTAATGTGGATGGACCAGGCTTGGATTGCAAATTTTGTAAAGGCAGAAACTGTTTTTGCCATTCCTGTATAATCCCAGAGTTTATCCTTATGCCTTATCCATAGTAAATGCTTAATAAGTGTTTATAATGTAAATATATATTTGTGGTCAAATATGTATTTATTTATATTATGTATATTATTTGTAGTATACCTCCCCCCACTAACTGGAATGTTGTCAGTTGATAACATTGTGTGTGATGATTTTTCTTCAATGTTTTTGTCTCTCTTTAGGTTGGTATTTTGTATGGCACCTCTTTTTGTCGAAATTCAAGTTTCTGCGGGAACTGGTGGGAGACACAGGATCCCAGGAGGGAGATCATGAGCCTTCAGGATCTGAAACAGAAGAAGACCCTTCATCGTCTCCGCACAGGATCAGGTCCACTCGCCAAAGGAGGGCAGCTGCTGAAGAAGGCCGCTGACGCAGCCGCAGTCCCGCCCTAGTGGAGGATGGAAGGCAGGTGGGAGCATCTGTCTTTAAGGACGTGGCTTTGCAGTTTGCTTAAAAGATTGAGGAACATTTGCACTTGGATTTTAAATCCAATTCAAACAACGATTTACATGTAAAGCCATATGAAAATAAAGGGAATTAAAACCAAATTGGACCATTTGCAAATTTCATCTTAAAGATAATCTTTTGCTTCACCAGCTTTTACTTATATGCTTGTTCTTTGGCTCCTGGGCTTATTTTCTTGCACTGCTGTGAATCCGGTAAATATTATAGGCTTGAAAAACCGTATTTTATTAGTTCCATAATGTATGTTTTTTGTTTCTGTGGTTTTTGTTTTCACATTTTACCTTGTCTGAAATTGGAATGCATCTCGAGATTGCTGTCAACCGGGCAGTAGTCATGGTGTGATTATCCAGCCTGCCTGTGTGAACTCTCAGCTTGTCATAGCGTCATCACTGTATTGTGGGTATCCGATGTGTCAGTTTTAATTGGCATTTAAAATGTCTTCAAAAAGATTACACTATGATTCAGCATTGAAACGGAAAGTTATTGTGTATGCAGAAATGCATGGGAACAGAGCAGCAGGGCGCACTTTTGATATCAGTGAAGCAAATATCCGTCGCTGGAGGAATGACCGAAATTCCATATTTTCTTGTAAAGCAACAACAAAGTGCTTTACGGGACCTAAGAAAGGAAGATACCCACAGGTAGACGAAGCTGTGCTACATTTTGTCAGTGAGACGTGTGCAAAAGGATTGCCTGTCACACGCCAGGCGATGCAGTTGAAGGCGGGAGAAATTGCCAAAACGCTTGGAATAGATGAAACAAAATTCAAAGCAACACGAGGCTGGTGCGATCGATTCATGCGTCGAGCAGGACTGTCATTAAGGCGGCCAACATCGTTTTGTCCAAAGCTTCCTGCTGACGTTAAACGGAAGACAGCGGTGGAGCACTCTTTCCAGAAATGCTGTGTCACCAGCACTCTCACCGACACCAAGGGTGCTGTCGTGTGGAAGAGTGCACACCTCGGCCGCTGTGGTCTGGGAAGTGGTCCCGAAGAGTCGGTCTCAGAGTTTGAAGTTCTAGTTGTAACTTAACCAGTTTATTTCATAGACTCTCTTTACTTTTGCACAAGATGGATATGGTAAAAAATCTGTTTGACTCTAAAAGCTGTTTCAATAAATATAAACCTTCTACATGATACAAAAGCATTGCATCGTAGTTTAATTGCCTGTGTTTTTTCTTAGTGATACATATGGTGCATCCTACAATTGATGGTATCTTAGATTAGATAAAAAGTAGTTTGTAAATTTATTTTTTCTTGGATAGCACTTATTTATTGGGAACTTAATTCTGCCTCTTGTTAAGATAGTTATCCTCTGTGATTTCTTTTTGGCAACTTATTCCGGATCTTAGAGTAGTAACTTAGGAACCTGAGTGCTGGCTTCTACTTTAGGAAGAGTAGGATTAGTTACTCCTTTGTATGGGAGGACTTCATGCTCAAGCCGTGTGTGGTGGAGAAACTACTTCTTCACAAACAATAATTCCGTGACAAGACCTCAGAGATGCAGGGTATTGAGGAAGAGAGAGTGGCTGAAAATGCCTGCTTCACTGTAAAATGAGTCTTGCCAGGTTCCTGTGTTTGTCTTCACTGGACTTTGGGCTGTGTGTTTACTGGGGAAGAGAGATGGATCAAAGAACCTTCCTGCTTAGTGTTACCTGCTTTGTGCAAGAGTGAACTGCAAAGCCAACTTATTAATCTAAGTTCTTTTTATGTTTTTAACCTGTTTTCTCAAGAACTAGTCATCACAGCGTATCACCTCTATTTTATGATGGTGTGTAATTTTGTGTTTGATACCTCATACTTGATGCCGATAGATAGTTTTGTTTGTTAACAGCTTGCTTGTTCTGCCCCAAGTTTTATTCCTGATGAACACCTCTGCTGTCACTGTAGCCCTTTGGATATACTAAAAGGGAATTTACAGAATGTAACTTTAATTTTAAGCATTTGCTGGGGAAAACCCCAGCAGCTGAGAGTGGGGCGCAATCTTTCTGTCTTCATTTCCTTGTTGGATGCAGTTTTTTATTTTTATGTGACTGTAGGCATTAACGAAACAGTGACACAAGTTTCAAGCATTAATTTTAGTGCTTCATACTAGCTAAATATATTAAAATGATCATCAGAAAAAAAAATTAATGATTAAAAGGCTTCTTGGTACTGGGAGGATATTTAAAGTAGATCTTTCATAGTCTAACATTTTGAGCTGTGGGTTCTGCTTTATGGTGAATATCTTAGGTTTAGATAATAATAGTTGCTGACAAACTTTAAGTAGCTGATGAGCTTCCATATTGTGTCAGTATTAAAGAGTGATGGCTGATGTAACCTACCCACCTCTCCAAGGGTCTCTACAAATTAATCCATGTAAAGTCTACAGGTTGGTATTATTTATTAATATTTATGCCTCAAGGATGTCTTTCTTAATAGAATTTTGAGAAATTTTCGGTTAGCTTACTTGGGAAGTATACCTGAAAGCATATTCATAGTTCACATCCTGCCATGTTTTAAATCCTAAGAGTCAAAAGAAATCACTGATGCCAATATGAAAATTCTACAAACTAATTCCTTTGTTTAAAATCTTTTTTTTCCCCCCTGCACCCCTCTTCCCCCACATAGTACATATTTCTGAGGCCACTAAAAAGACAAGAAATCGTTGTTAACACAGAATTATCTGTGTGGTATAGTGTTTCTGTTCTTTTCCTGTTTTAGTGCTTTTGTAGCTGAAATTACCAGAACTTCGTTGTAAGTGCATTTTCAGTTTCTCAGTAGGAGACAGACTAGCTTGTGGTTAATTTGGTTTAGAAGGTCCTGAGCATGAAAAACACATACAAGTATTAGTCTTGTCTGAATGCTCACAAACAATAATGGTGATCAAGTATGCCACCTTTGAGGATTAATTCTAAAATTGAGGATTCTGGTAGGTTGTTTCGTTTCCTTCCCAACCAACCATTTCCAGATCTTTCTCTTTTGCCTCTGAAACTTCTGTGAAAATTGCCTGTGTCAGTGTATTGGTAGCATTGCTCTGATTTTAAATGCCAAAAACACTAAATGTTTGTGTGGCACTGTTAAATGAGGTTTTTAATATTTTCATCAAACTAAAAGATTCATCCGATGGATTTAGTAGTACTGTTTTCATCATGGAAACATAAATACTTTGTTATTTGGTGGATAGCCAATTTACACATGTGCCGACCCATTTCTTTAGATGTTATTAGGTTTAAAAACACCTTCACACCGTTATTTTGCTGAAAGTTGAGAGTACTTTAAACAATGGTTTCACGAACTACGGCATTTTAAACCAAAATGTGTTGAAAGATTTGAAAGTAGTTCATTTTTACTTTTAAGAGCAACAATTTTTGAAATTATTTTAAGTCAACAGTGTGGTATTTTTTTAAGTCACTTTTTCTTAAAAGGTATGTTTTAATGTAACATGCAACCAATGTAACTAGCTTTTGATGGTAAACTTCAAGTGCTTTTATGTTTCAAGTTGACTTTAAAAAGCCAATGAGCAGCACTCAAAGGTGATAGACCCTCAAGCAACTGGTGGAATAGTATTTTGTTACGGAGTCTAGAATTAAAGCACCTTATACTGTCTGCTTTTAAAGTATCCTATAGTTTTTAACTTAAAACATAAAGAGTAATAACATTTTATCTTATATTGGTAAAAGTTACATTTTCTGTTTGTTAATGTGTGGGTGCTGCTGTCTTATAACCAATGTTTATCGTTAGCCCCCAAGTCAGTTCTATGCATAACCATTCACAAATACTGCTGCTGTGGTTTCTTACAGGAAACATCCTGTGCTGTGCTATATGATGCATTAAAATCTTGCTGCTTGGCAAATAGGCTTATAAGGAGTTAGAATTGTGTGTGTTACTAGTACCTTTGTCTAACAAGATGTAAAATTAGAGATGAGGAATGTGTGTAAATGATCATTCACTGTTTTTGTTTTAAAACTGGTCAGTACTGTAAAGCTGTGGTTTGTATGATGTTTTACCTTTCACTTTAAACTGCACAGAATAAATTAAAATGAAAACAAACGTTGTGTATGTGTCGTTGATGAAGTGTAAAAAGTATGAAGGGTATCTTGGACCTGAGGGATTTGAAAGCCATTTTTACCAATAGTCCTTCCTTCACCTTATTTTTCAAACTCTAAAAATCTATAAGAATTTACACAGGATAGCAGTAGTATTCCTAATGCTGTGAAAGTAATTGACTTAGAACCTGAGGACGTATAGCATTAGAGCTAAATTACATTTACCATGGTTAGCCTTTTGTTTTCTTCTCATACTGTATCCAGTGCCCTCAAGACTGTTTTGATAATCTGTTTACCATAGATCATGTCTCACATTTTTGTTAGTATTAACCACCAGGAGGACTGAGTGAGGAAACTGACCAAAGCCGTGTAGAAAGATGGAGGAATGCCCTTGAAAACCCATTTGAGATAGGAAACCATTAATTGCAGTGGCTGGGGGCCAAGTTTTGATTTTTCTTCGGCAGTGCTCAGCTGCCAGCAATGTAAAGTAGGAAAAAGGGGATTGTGCCAAGGTCAGGCTTTGTGAGGTAGGAGTGTCTAAGGGGCAACGTTGTTCAAGATTGCTGGAGATTGGCCTTGGGATTTGAGCTGGGTTGTAAGAGAAGTCAGATCAGGTAAGGCACTAATAAATTGGATGAATGAGAAGGGGTAGAGATTGAAGATAAAATGGATATGACGTGTATAATGGATAGAATGTGAAGTTTGGGGTAGACTAGGATTTCAGAGGTGAAGCAGGTCTGAGCAGTGACACTGATTACAACCATGGAAAGGAGGAGTCTGAGAACTTTGATTCAATCTAGGGTGTCGTGAACTATCGGCGTGGCCACTGTTGCTTTTGCATGGTGGCTGAAGTTGGGATGGAGATGACCGTGATCTGGGGACCGAGTCAGGCACTTGGAAGACTGATCTTAAGGTCTGGAATGTCAAGTGGTCCTTAAAAGGAAGGAGTTTCCTGAAAATGAAAGAGAAATGTTCTTGGGGAGCTGTGAGAATGCTTTCTCTTCATTGTGGACCCCCTGGCATCTCTACAGGCCAATATATGATTGTTATGCACCAGTAAGTACTTCCGTTATAAAAGTGATGCAGTTTATGGAGAACTTTGTTGGGGGGTTGAGGGAGGAGAGGAGGGAAGGACAGCAAAAGCTTCTCTAGGAATCTTAAAGCGAAGAGTAGGAGTTTTCCAGGTAGAGGACGAGAAGAGGATTCCAGATGAAGAAAGCATGTGCAAAATGAGAGTTGTGGGAAGATGCCTTGCTTGGAGAACTAGATAGTTGGTTATTCCTGGAATAGAGAGTGATGGGGGACACTGGTTTGAAGCTGGAGAAGAAGGACAGATCTAGGTCACAAAACCTTGTTATGCAATGGCAAAGGCTTTGAAGTGCATGCATGTGTGATGGAGAGCATTGATTCACTTGTTTAACGTGTTGAGTGGCTACTCTTGCAGGCATCTGGACTAAGTACTTGGAAAACTTATGCTGGGGCTGGCCCGGTGGCCCGGTTAAGTTTGCACGGTTCGCTTCTCGGCGGCCCCGGGTTCGCCGGTTCGGATCCCGGGTGCGGACACGGCACCACTTGGCAAAAGCCACGCTGTGGTAGGCGTCCCATGTATAAAGTAGAGGAAGATGGGCACGGATGTTAGCTCAGGGCCAGTCTTCCTCAGCTAAAAGAGGAGGATTGGCAGTAGTTAGCTCAGGGCTGATCTTCCTCAAAAAAAAAAAAAAGAAAGCTGATGCTAACTGCAGCAAGGAGCAGTGATTTGGATACACAATGGAGACAGGGTGTCTCTCACTGTAGTCCAAGTAAGAAAATAGAAAGCTAGTGGCTTCTGGAAAGAAGTGACGACTGGGAAGTTTGAGGACATGAAGAATCAACAGGACTTGAGACAGGATTTGTGAAGGCAGGTGAAGGAGAAGTGTAAGAGATTTCAACATTGTTTGATATTGCTAATGTTGAGGGGTGCGTATGGAAGGAGTAGCTTTGAGGTTGGCTGGAGGGAGGTGGAAACTGAGAGTCCAGTTTCGGGCATGCATATTTGAATTTAGGTGCTTAAAGGCCATTTGGTGGACAGAAATACTAACCAGTTGTAAAAATAGAATGAGGGCCATGGTTGAAAACACAGACTCAGTTGATCAGTATGTGAATGCATTTGAAGCTGTAGGCAAAAATAGGGTCCAGGGCAGAGGCTAGAATAAGTGACCCGAGGAGTGGCCCCTAAAGAGTATCAATATTTAAGAGGCTGTTAAAAGAAAAAGAGGCCTCTAAGGACATTGAGAAAGACTTAAGATAACTGAGAATGTACCTGGAAGCAAGTAATGTGCTGGAAGCAAGTAATGTGCTGGAAGCAAAACAAAGAAAGAATTTGAAGGAAGAGCAAGTGTTTAAGTGATGTATTTGCAGGATGATGTTGCTCAGATCTTACTATGAAGAAATGGCAACAGGAAACTATTGCAGTAGTCCATGCAAAAGATACGTGAATCTGTGCAAGGCTGTGGCAGTGGGGCCAAATTAAATAGATATTGATGGGAGTTGATTTGTCAGGGTTTGGTGACTGGTTAGATATGGGAGGTGTAGGAAAAAGATGAATTGTTGATAGATGGCTGATGGATGTTGCTGGAACGTGTTTGAGGGGACAATTTGGGGATAAGTCCAGGGCTGTGCAAGACCAGTGGAAACGGCCCATCTGGATCTTAGGATGAAGGTCAGGAGAACTGAGTTCCTACCCAAATGCTAGAACTTGGTAGTTGGCAATTGATTCAACCTGTTTCCTGGTCTGCTCCCTGCGAATGATAATGTCTGGGATTGTTGTAAGAAGACAATTTTTAAAAACTCCTGTTTAGCATACCCTTTAATACATAGTAGGCGACCTGTAACTTAACCTCCCATTCTTCTTTCCTTACTCCTTATTCACCTTTGCAACTGTAGGAGTCTTCTTAATGACAGCTGGGTCCAGGAGTTGGCCAGTTCATTGAAAAAGTTGAAATGGAGAGTCACAAAAACATATACATTCATCCTACACTATCTTGAAGTAAGACCAAGACTTTTTTCACCGAATATAGATCCCCTAGATTTCAATCTCATTTTCTTTGAAGAGTCAGACTTAATCATTCTGTGATTTCCAGTTTTGGTCTCTTAAAATTGGAACAACAACAGAACCTTGCAAGACAAAGATTTTTACTGTATTTTTTTCATCTTTTACACTTGCCTCACTTGTCCCTAGATGGACAGGATTTTTAGTATCTTGCCTTTATCAAATTTTCCCAAAACATTCAACTGTTTTCATAGAAACAGCACCGCCTATTTTACACTATTTCATTGTAGTATTTATGTAATTATAATATCATAGACAACTGAAATAAGCAGGTTTGGGACCGTTTTGGTTGAACAGAAGTGATTTGGTGAGGACAGAAATGTGTGGATGTGCAGGATACAGCTCGCCTGTCCTTGATGGTGCTCCCGAGCCAGGCAGGTGCTGTGCGTCTTGCAGAGCACACATTGAAGCCTCATGTGGAATCTCCGTACCCTTCCACGGAACTCTCATACCAGTCTCTGTCTATTCCCTCCCGGTGCTTTATAGACCCTTCTGCCTGTCTGAAACCAATACCTCCTCCTGTGCTTTGCATCCTGTTTGCCTCCTACCTTTTCAGCAAATTGTCACTGTCAGTTATTTCTTGTATATATTCAGTCATTGTCTGTCAGCTGGATCATTCTTGTCAACATTTAAACATATTCTATCTTGAAAGAAAGAAGGAAAGCCCTCCTTCTACTCTTTTCCCTCAGCCGCCAGCCACCCTTCCCTTTCCGCTATAGACTCCTGCAACTTGTTCTCTCTCTGACCCCTGACGTGAAATCTGAAGGACATTTTGCAGTTCTCAGCTTTGACCTCCCAACAGTGTTTGTCCTGCTTGCTCCTCCCCTCCTTGAAACATTCTTTTCCTTTGGCTTTAATGATGCTGAATTCTCCTAGCTTTGCAGCATAATTACTAAAATTCTCCTGTCTGTCTGGCCAACCCCTAAGCCTGCAATTAAATGTCAGAGTTCCCAGGGCCAGGTCCTAGCCCCTTTTCCCTCACCCTGTGCTGTGTCCTGAGGCAGTCCTATCTGTGACTTCGGCTGCCATCTCTTCACCAGTCGGGCCACATTCCTGTCTCTTGGGCCAGCTGCCTTCTCAGGATCTCTTCTTGGTTGTCTTAAACGCTGGTCAAACGCAACACCTGCAAGGTCCTATTTATAACCCTCTCCGAACCTGGTGTTCTTCCAGTGTGCCTATACAGCTGCCAGAGTTGACAACCTGGGTGTCATCTTTGACCCCTCTTTTGGGCCCCATAGTCGACACATCATCTTGATGATTTTACTTCTGAAATTGCTCATGAAGCCATTTATTTTTCCCCATTTTCTTATTACCCTCTGTAGGCAGTGTAGTATATTGCTCACGAGGGTGGCCTCTGGAATTGGACGTCTGCGTGCCTCATTTTTCATCTGTAAAATGGGTATAATAATAGTACCTATCTCATAGGGTTTTTGTAAGGATTAAATGAGTGAATACACACAGAGCATTTAGAATAGTGCTCGGTATATATTGAGTGTTCCCTACCGTTACAATGCTCACGTGGATTCCTGCAGTGGTGGTTGTCTCAAATCCATTACAACCCCTCTCCAGTTCCTCCTCCTCGTTGTCACCAGAATGATCTTTTTGAAATTCAAATATGACCTTGTTGTCTCCTTGCTTATAACATATGAATGGTTTACCATTGCTCCTAGAACAAGGGTTAAAGAGACCTGAAGACGCCCAGTGACATGCCTGCCGAAAGATTGTGTTTACCGAAAGACTGCAGCTCAGGAGTCACTTTCTCAGAGAGGTGTCTCTGAACACCACCCCCACCGCTTTCCAGGCAGTTCCTTTGTCATTATTAGAATGGTCTTCTCCTTCAGTGGCGACCACAGACAAGAATTAAACATTTGTTGATGCATTTATTTGATTAAACACCATCGTCCCCACCATGTTGA